ACGGTATGACTGTCTTCGACCAACTATTCCCTGACGGCAGTGGCATGATATATGGAACGGGAACTGCCTGCATTGTACCGTTGATTTGGCTTTGTGTGGCGTCGCTTCCTTGGATCCGACGAGTTGCGTACGAAATATTCGTCATTCTTCATGTGCCAGCTGGCGTTGCGTATGTTGGCCTCTTGTTCTGGCACACGAAAAATGCTCTCTTGACTTGGGACTACCTCTATGCCACCATTGTCATCTGGGTGTTTGCCTACTTTATGCGTGTTTTTAATCTCAACTGGTTGAAGCCATGGCGCAACGCTTTCCTGGTTGGCGACGAGGCCGCTGTCACTCTCATGTCCGAAAACGCAATTAAAATTACGATTCCTACCCAGATGAGATGGAAGCCCGGTCAATATGTGTACCTTAGAATGCCCGGCATATCTGTTCTGGATAATCATCCGTTTACTATTTCATCTCTTTGCAGCGAGGACTTTCCATCCGAGTACGGGGAGAATTATCGCGATTGCGTTCTGGTTTTCAAGCCATTCAAGGGATTCACACGCAAGGTTCTGGATACAGCCATTGCCAAAGGACCTTTTCACACGTATAGAGCCTTCTTGGATGGGCCCTACGGCGGCATGCGCAGGGACCTAGCGGCCTTTGACACCTGCATTCTCATCGCCGGTGGCAGTGGGATTACTTCATTAATGTCGCAGCTCCTCAACCTCATTAAGCGCATGCGCGATGGCAAAGCTATCACGAGAAAGGTGGTGGTCATTTGGGCATTCAAGAGATTCGAAGCTATGGATTGGTTTCGAGAAGAACTTCGGATTTGTCGGGAAGCAGCACCCCCGGAGAGTGTAACTTGCAAGTTCTTTATTACTGGAGCTGTTCGCCACCGAGATGCTGGCCAAATGACCGCTCCCATCAATGGGCATAACCCTCGGGCCCTCAACCATATGTTGCACGACAAGTTAGACGGATTCGTGGCGGGTATTGCTTCCAAGCGGAACTCGACTCTTATCCAAGCCGAGGCTGGAGGTGATCCCGAGAGGGAACGTGAGCTCCGTGAGGAGAGCGAGGATCGTATCACTGCTCTCCCCCAGCAAAAGTATCTCCAACCGCACCAATATCCTCCTCCTCATCCTCCTCCGCCAGGCCCACCCTCGAGTCGCCTTGGACCTAATGGATACCCTGAAGATAAGAAGCTCGAAGACGACGATGTCAAACAACCCGAAGAATTCCACTTCCCGCCTCTCCATAAAGAAAATCCTCCTCACTTCAACTACGCTCCCCCAAATCCCAACAAGCCTGCTCTCACTATCTCGGAGCCCCAGGAGCCGTATCCTGTACGAGCTCCCGAACTCGCCCACTTACGGCACCCTACCAGCTCGGAGAGTGCCAAACAACGACCGACATCTACTATCGGCCCGCCGGCCGGGTTCGACTTTGGTTTTCCAGAAACACCGACTGAATTCCAGAAGAATTTGATGAGATCAGCTTTCCCCATTCCGCACGAAATCGACGGCGGGTGGTCAATGGAGTACGGCCGGCCTGATCTGGGCTACATGCTCAAGGAGTGGGCAACGGGCGGCGTGGATGGACGGGGTATTTTGGGCAGAAGAACAGCCGTGTTTGTCTGTGGGCCTCCCTCAATGAGAGTTGGTGTCGCCAACACAGTGGCGAGGTTGCAGGCAGAAATTTGGGGAGATGACGAGCTGGAGGAAATCTTCCTCCACGCTGAGAACTATGCCTTGTAAAAAGCGGGTAGTGTACATGGTAGCAATACCATGAGGTCAAAATGTGAGTGTATATAGAAGTCGGGCGTAATGTTTTGACGAGTTTGACTACATGCGGGTTGGAAGCGTACATGCAATGCTCAACATAATTGCCTGTACCTAGTTTCTAATGTGTCATTCATGTCCCTGCCTGGGCGCAAATCTCCATTTCTCGTGCATCCGCACAGTCCTCAACCGTCTCATAACCGTCCTTTTTGCTATTGACGATGCAATACCTCCACGTGGACAGACAAGTGGCATCATAATCACAGACTCTCCTGGCCTTCTGCTCCGCGTCCGAGCACTGGGTAGAATACAAGATGGTCGTCTTTTTTGTAGTTCTGGGAATCAGTACGCCGTCACGGGTAGACAAGGGCCATCAGAACCGCGGGCCAAGTTTAGCATATCACAGTACTTTTTGGCCATCTCCTCGTAGCTCTGCTCTTTGGTCGGCCCCTCGTCTTTTTTGTCTCCCGTTGATCCAAAGCCAGACGCGTTACGATTTGCCTTGGCCCACGGGATATAGCTGCCGGGTCTGGTGTACTTGGAGGGAGCCCGCCTTGCGTGTCATTGCACAGGTAGGTGGTGGGCTATCTATGGGACACAAGTGCAGGCAATTCACGGCTAGCAGACTGTGCTGGGGTTCCCATGGGCAAATTATATTTATTCTTGCAACTACCTACGTCTACGGAGCTATACTGTATGGACTCTCAGGAGCGGTCAAGTACGGGCGGCTCGTGAGCATGATGCGTAGCATGCATCACTTTGCGTATCTGACACGCGGCTGTGTGCTTAACCACTGCGTCATGCAGCAAAGGGGATCCAGCTTCCAAGTTGTGCACCTTTTGGCGCGTAGCATACACAAGCATCTAGCGTGAGTTTGCGCAGTCTGAACGACAATGCCAATAGATGGCCAGTTTCACCAGTCATTCAATCCCAATCCATGCCTTCCGAGGCATGAATGTTGTCATACAGGGGCAATGGCAAACCTCAGGAGGTTCCAATATGCGCATCCCCGGGAAGACTGCAGTAGGTCCAGGGCTTGCCGGCCTTTGGCATAATTGAGATGGGCGAGTGTATTCAGATGACTACCTGTTTTGGAGAACAGCTTGCTATGCAAGTGAGTTGGCTTTAATGTACACTAAGGTACTATTTTCAGGGACATGGAGAGACAGAGGCAAAAGGGCACTTATAGAGCCATGCGGCCGTCATGAGCTTCGTTGACCAGCAGGATGCCGAGACGAGGCTCGATAAGTGCCCGCGCATGCTGCTTGTCCAGGCTCCCTAATAACTCGAAAAGGAATGGGGGCAAGAGTCCTCATATGTTTCGAGATTAAGTTTATGCTTGGGAATAGGCCACATGGCGGTATTGAGCCTATTAATATATCGGCTGAAGAGCTACTTGAGAATAAAGAAACTACGCGTTGAAATATTTATTAAATCAAAGAGATTCTTGACGCTTTTGAGTAATCTTGAACTCATATTTACCACGTTTACGTAAAAGGTCTGGAATTGACTAGAGAAAACTCTTAGTTTTACGCCCGCGTCAAAAGTTACTGATGCTCTTATTTTTAATATAAAAAGCTAGTCGCGTCATTTACGTCCGTTAAAAACTCAAGGCGACTATGACACCGAAACTGAATCTGGCTGGGTTGTTAAACGACATGCATCTCATCTTTCTCTCGACAAGCCCGAACGCGCGTCAGCAGATAACTTTCTTGCCGGCGTCCTCAGCCGCTTTGGAACGGCGGGCTACGGCGGCTACGTCCGCTCTACCAGCGACGTACGGGCATATAAGTTGAATTCGGCACCGACGACCGTCACTTACTGGTGTGACAAGGCTTGCGAGGGGCAAAGCTCCGTTGATGCGCTTTGCTGGACAGCTCGATCAAGAAGGCTTCTGGGGTCGGGTTACCGCTGACTTGGTTGCCCATCGGGACTCTTTGGTGAATCTTATTCTAACCGCACTTGTAAGACGAATAAACACGGCATGCCGCTTCTCGATAAATTAGAGTCAACGCATACTAGCAGCTTTTCATCACCTCATTCTATAATCTATATATATGCTCGAGAGTCGAGACAGATGTTCTCCACTTCCAACAATCGCATCCCAAGACAAAAGGGTGACGTGCGGATTACAAACCACCCCATGCAAATGCCGGGAAAAGTCACATCATCCCTCTATCCATACACACAAAGGCCGTTTATTACTGATGCAAGTCTCTTTGAACATGGACAAAACCTGTAAGCGGATCCTCCCGATGCCAAAAGGGTCGCATGGGCACCTTGATGGGTAGAACGTCTTGGTCTCGTGGGAACCTTTATCGACAGTTTGGCGACAATATCTGCTTCTCGTCTCTACATTTTCCCTCTTTTACTTTATTTTCCTCTACTGATATTCCATCAATCTCCGCGTTCCTCATATTTCCAGTTTTGGACTTTGATTCTATCCCTCAACATACAAATATATACTTGCGAGCAAACGTCCAACATGTGCCCGGAACGAGACATTGAAAAGATCGCCAAAGGCTGGACAATTGCCATGCTTTATTCCAAGGAGCGCTTAAAACGGGTCTATGGCTGGGGGAATGACCAGTTGGAAGAAGCTGCCAAGGGCGGGATACTAGTTCTGGAGACGGTGTGCTTGTTTGTGCATGCTTGTGTTAAGCATGGTCAATACCAGTACGTTTAGCCTTGTTTGCTCAGTTTCTCCGTTGACCATTGCCTCTGTGGTTTGATGGGCGCTAATTTAATCCAGACTGCCGTTCGAGTTTTGGAAAGTCCTCCATGCAGAGTACGGCATTGTCGTGTACCCCTCGGCTTTGACCGAGGACATCGACGTGCAGGGTTTAGGCGTCGATGTATCATTTATGGATGCTTATTGCGGGCATATCGGTCGGTTCATTTCTTTGCAGGAACCAGCTCTTTCTTGGTTACTGAAACTGACATTGTATAGTCATGTACGGCAGATGTTGCGGCTCGGACCCGCCTCCGTGTCCGATGCAGTTTCTCAGAGAACCGCCGCCAGTGTACTCCAAGTAAGAGGAAGCACGAATAAACTATTTGGGCCGAGAAGATGAATTACGCTCGAATGGTTAATATGATGAGGACGGCGTTTATGGTGAAGAGCGCTTTGCCCCGGTGGCGAGGACACGACAAAATGCATTTCAGATGGCACAGCATCAATATAGTACGGGGTGATGGCATTTATACAGGAAAAGAAAATTTTGTAAATCATGACTTCACCTTCTCGCCCATCGCTCCATCTCTATTCGCCCTCCAGACACCCTCCTCGCCATCAAACTCTTCCCTCTTCCACACCTCAACCCTCGACTTACACTCCTCCAAAGCTTCCTCCCCGGCCCGCCATGCTGCTTGTCTATGTGGTGATGATACAGCAATCAAGATGCTCTCTTCGCCGATGGGCACAGTTCCCAGACGGTGGATCATGGCTATGCCCTTGAGACCGTGCTTTTTTATTAATTCCCTGGTAATAGCCAGCATCGTCCTCAGGGCGAGTTTTTTATACGCTGTATATGTGAGTTCTTTGACGGGTTTGCCGGCAAAGTTGTCTCTTGTTGTTCCTGATCAAGGTTAGGCCGTGAGTTTTTGTGGTGACGGTGCCGAGTGAGGATACCTGCGAAGAGGACTATTGCGCCGGCCGCTGGGTTGCGGACGCGGTCCATTATGGTTTGGACGCTGAGGTGGTCTCTTGCTAGGGCAACATAGCAGCCTTCCGATGACAGTTCCCATAAATCCTCGTCTTGAGATGCCATTGCGATGGCGGTTTTGGTTGGGACGATTGTGACGGTAAATATGAGGAGTCGGCAGCGGGGATCTCCGAAAGTGAAGGTATGTATGTGGGAATACTGCCAAACCACCCCGTGAACTAGCAGACTAGGACATAGTGGAAGAACATGCCAGCATTCGCTTTCTGTACCAAATGTTGAGAAAAACTGAAACAAAAATAAGCAGCAAGAATCCGTCCCTTCTGTTGCTTCAGAAGGCTGTGAACATGCAACAGACAGGGTAAGTTGCTCAAGTTGATTGATGACTAAGATCTTCAATGGGCCACACACCATCGGACCCTTCCAACTTAGTTCCGAGCTACTTACTATCCACCTCACGCTTCGTTCATTTCTGATTTTTGTTCCCCTTGTTGCATCTTCGCGCCAAAGCATCGTGCACATCGCCGTTATGCGCGACTATTATCACGGACGATCCCCCGACCGAGGGCGGCATCGAAACGACCACGACAACATGGGAGCCTCGCGAGGCAGAGGCGGAGACCGAGAGGGCCAAGACCGGCAGGACGACCATTACCGATCGCGTCATGGTAAAGACATGATCCGCGCCTTGTGTGGAGACTGATACAGCCTTCAAGCCTCTTGTCACGGAGCTTTTGTATTAAGACTAGACAAGTTTTGTTCGCTAACTTACCCACGGGGCGTCGAGACTATTCCAGGTCTCCTACAAGGCACAACTTCTACGACGACCAACGGGAGAAAGCACCACAACGCCATCACCAAGACCTGGGCAGCGGAAGGGATTATGATTACCGCTACGACGGCCCAGATGATGAGTACAGAAGACGAGACCGGAGCCCCCGTCATCGATCAAGACATTTGGATGATCGGGGTCATTCATACGAGGACATGTACGACGATGGGGGCCGTGATGAAGGCAAGCAGCGGGGACGTTTTGACGACGACGAGCCCAGAGACAGCGGCGAGTATTCTCACCGTGATGGTCGTAGAGGGAGATCCCGTAGCCCTTGCGGCAGGCATTACAGAAGTCGGTCCCGGAGCAGGACGCGAGATGCTGGGAAACCCACAGACACGGTAATCCTCGAGGGACTGCCGTATAGTATATCGTCTGCAGAGGTGAGTGAGAGCGACTGTCGAGGGTGGGTAACTCATACTAGCGAGCGAAAACTGATGGTGGTTGCCAGGTTCGCGACAGCCTTCTTGCCAACTCGATTGCGGCTGAATTTCCGTCCATTGATGTGAGACTTTCATCTTCAAGAGGTCAGTCCAGCGGCTGGTGGTTTTTCCGACGCACATTTGACTCATACCCATGAGCAGGAAACCGACGAGCATTTGTTCAGTTTGAAGACGTGGACCAAGCAACTGCTTTCGTTAAAGAGCATTTCTCAAAAATCCTTATTGAACTCCAGCACTCGACTGATGACGCACCAGACGGCAAGTTTGAAGCATATATTCACTATGCCCGCAATCGCGATGACGGTGACACCCGGCAGATTCGGGCCGCCGACTGGATTTGCCCACAAGTGTGTATTTTGTTTGCTATTTCGTGCGGGGAAAAGATGGGCTGACCTCTTTAGTGTGACTTTCTGAACTTTTCTACAAGAACGAGGTGCAAAATATGCGGCACACAGCCAGCGGGTAAGAATGAGCGATGAGCGATCCGTTGGGCGGCCGTGACCCATACGCTAACTGGTATCGAAGCGAACAACTGGGAACAAAGCCTCACAGGTGCGGCCGATGTCGCCGACGGTGCTGAAGCCGTGTCGCAGATATTGGTGGTATATCCGCTGGCATCATTCGTGACTGAAGACATGCTTGCGAAAGACCTCAAACTCCTCGAAAAGTCAGAGGAACCAAAAAGCTCGACCAATGGGCCAACCAAGTTAAAGTCAACTGCCCCAGGAGCCGATGTCTCTCGCTACGGTGCGAGGCCGGAGTCGCTACACCGCGTGTTTCTCATACGCGAGGTGACCTCGGGAGAGAGCTTCAAATACGGGTTTGCCGAGTTCTGGACCCTTGAGGATGCAGCTGCGGCAGTGACAAAGTTTCGCATGTCTCGCTCATTTACTGTTGCCGGCTGTGCTGTTACCGTTGCTCCGACACACATGGGCGTATTTCTACCCGAGGAGCGCGAAATCGCGCCGAATATCGAACACATGTCGTTTAATCCGCTCTTCAACCCCTCTCTCCGAGTACGATATCGGGACATGCACGTATTTCCAAGCCAACTAGTCGTCACATCCGAACCACCTGCCGACGTTAACCTCAACGCCGCCAAATCCACCGAGGACGAACAGAACGACAAGAAGCAGAAGAAGCGCAAAGCCGAAGGGAGCCTAGCCGCGTCCGCAGCCAAAAAGTCGGTCCCCATGGCAGGCCAAATGGCAGTCTGGCAGAGGAAACACGACGAGCTCCGCGGCGTCGAAGAAGGCGACGACGCCTCAAACGGGCAACCCGACTCAACAACCAAGTCGGCTCCGATCAAGATTTCACTGTCAAACTCTACAAAACTCGGGGCTCCGTCGGCACCCCCAACATCCGCAAGACACCCATCGCCGCGCGCAAAATCACCCACTGCCCAGGCCACCCCACCACCAAGCTCACCGCAGCACGTACCGGAAAGCACTACCCCGAAAGAAGAGACGTACATGGACAGAGAAAGACTCATGTGCCTCATCTGCATGCGCAAGTACAAGTCCATCGACGAAGTCAACATTCACGAAAAGTCGCGGAACCACAGATCCGCCATGGAAGACGGCGAGAAAGTCAAGGCGGCCCTCCCGCGGCTCGCCACGCGCGATAAACGCCAGAAGCAGGATCCGCAAGTAACTCAGTATCGCGACCGGGCCAAGGAACGGCGTGACATTTACAACCAACCCAATCGACCCTCCCAGGCCCCCAAGCCCAAGTCTGAGTCGAAGAAAGCGCCCGAGGAACCGAAGCCCGCGGTCAAGGTTGCATCCAAGGGAGCAGGGATGCTTGCCAAGATGGGCTGGACAACAGGCGTAGGCTTGGGGGCGAATAATGACGGCCGCACAGAGGCAATTACTACGAATGCGTACCAAGAAGGCGTGGGGTTGGGTGCCGAGGGCAGCAATTTGGGTGATGCGGCAGAGTTGGCGGAACGCAAGACCAAGGGCTCCTACTCGGATTATTTGACTACCGTGCAGGATAAGGCGAGGGAGCGATATAGTCAGATGAACTGATGTTGTTCAATAGTGTACAATTGATAAATCAGGTGCAGCCTGTGGCAGAATATAGTTGCCCATCAAGAAGCATTCACTTGCACCAATGTGCTATATTGTGTGTTTTTTGTTATAGAGCGCGATAAAAGGTACTTTGACCTGGATATATTTTGCCTCTCACATTTAAGTCTCTTAGCCTCCAAGGTCGAAAGCCCCGCAGCATGTGCGTGTCTGTAAGAGCTCAAGAGCTGCCATCTCTGCCAGCCTGCTGGTTTTGGGGGTCCCGGTAGAGGGAAACACCATTCGGTTTAAATCTGGTGCTCTGTGGGCCGCAACCCCAACCCGGCCGAGCATTCAATCTTGTGCGAGGTCTCGCGTTCCACGCATCCGGACCGAAGCTAGGTAGAAAACCCGGTGGACGATGCAGCGAGCAGGGTGAAAGGGTCAGCCGCCAAGCGAGCCGCATTTCTATCTCTGGCGCTGTGAGGCTCAGGCTGACATGGCACGACTATTTAAAGAAGGCCGAATGGACGGGAATTGGGCGGTCGAGTCGTCAACCTTGGCACGCGGGAGTTCCTGGGCGGGCAAATCGGCGGCTGCTCAATGAAGTTAAGCCGGATCGCATTACGGGGGTGCATGGGCCCGCTGCCACTTTCTGCCTCCACAGGCTGGGAGCCCAGGCCCAAAGTGCCTGGTCTTTTTTACTTTACCCTTGGTACAGCAGCTTACCCATAGCCACCCCAATCGCTCGATCTATTGGCCGCCTTGTCCCACGGCCGACAGCTGGTGTTGTGGTGTGGCTGGTGCTCCGCCCGTAAGCGAGGATAACGACTACCAAGACATTGAAATCTGCGTGGCTCAGCTCCTTTTTTTGGGTCTGAAAGTCGACTGGGCCCATGCCGTTATTTCCGCGAGGCACCGGGGGCGGGGGCTGAGCTACGTAATCTATTTATTGATCAGCCACATGGGTTGCTTCATCGGCTGCCTGGGGTTTCATACTTATAGATGCGTCGTCGCCCTGTGGTTTGGGGGAGCTGGTAGTTATATTTTTTCTGCGTCCTGCGATCCAAGCTTCTCCGGCCCCCCCTCCCCTTCTTCCGGCCTGCCAGAGAGACGAATCGACTTCACCATGCCTTCACTCCACCACGCGGTGCTTGTCCTGGGCGCCGTTGCGACGGTTTCCGCGGGCACGCTCTCGGTTCCTCTCGAGCGGCGAGGCCCCAGCCAGGAGCACTACCGGCTGCTTGGCCGGGCCATTTCCCGTCGAGCCGCCGACAACGGGACCGCCGAGCTGACGGCCCTGAATAACATCACCGCCGCTGGGTACTATGCCGACTTTGCCATTGGCACGCCGGGCCAGAATCTCACTTTCCAGCTCGACACGGGCAGCAGCGATACCTGGATGAACTCGCCCCGGACGCAGTACTGCCGCAGCGCCATGGCGCAGTCGGAGGCGGGCTATTGCACGGCTACTTGTATGTCCCGCCCCAGCAATTCACATATATCACGGGTCAACTCTGTGGTCACTTTTGGTCCGCTCGAGAAGCTCGCGCAAAGAAAAGGCTAACATGGTGGCCAGTCAACCCCCAAAACAGCAAGACCTTCAAGCTCGTCGATGAGGGTGGCTTCAACATCACCTACCTCGACCAGCGACGCATCACGGGCGATTACTTCAACGACACCGTCACCATTGGCGGCCATGAAATCAACAACCAGCAGCTGGGCCTCGCCATCTCGTCCGTCCGCCCCACGGGCATCATGGGCCTGGGCTTCAGCGCCAATGTCGCCACGCCCAACAAGTACCCTACCGTCATCGACAACATGGTTAGCGAGGGAATCATTGCCCATCCAAGCTTCAGTTTATACTTGGTGCGTTTTGCCCACGGCTGCTCCTGCCTGCCCTTGTCTTGCCTGCCGAGATGGCGGCGGTCAAACAAGAAGAAGATATTAAAAAAAAAAAAAAAAGAGAGA